TGGCCCAGTTCAGTTCCAGCTGTTTAAGACCATCCTTGACAGGTTTCGCCTTTGCTTTTGCGAATTCCCGCAGCTCAAACTTGTTTACAACCTTGCAAATCGGCACTCCATCCCCACTACCCGGTGACACCTGCTGCAATGTTTGACTTGAACGGTCGATTTGTCGCAACGCATCTCGAAGACTGACAGGGGGGTCAAGGCTGTTGTTTTCATTCACGATTTGGACATATAGCGCTCCGATCTCTTCGTCGAGGATGTATTGTGGCAGGGCACGAGGAGTAGCTCTTGTGCGGAATTTGAGGAGAGGAGTAGTCGGGCTGTAGGATCGAGAGGGAATTTCATTGATGCGGGGAGAGAGTTGGAAGAATTGAGGACGAAAGGCAGGTTGAGGAGTGAGGAGGATTTGGCGAAGGGCCCGAGTGGGAGGGACGAGACGGCGCATGTGCTTCATTTCCAAAAGTGACAGCGGCGCTGACACCGACAGACAACAAAATAGGAGAGGAATTCGAAGGGATTATTGGACAAGAGCAGAGATCGAGATCGGGACGGAAGAACTGGGGATTAAATTCCCAGGGTGGCTATCATAGGCTGCAGAGGAGCATGTGGTGAGGTCAATGTCCGGGAATAATAATGAGGCCGGGCTGAGTCTGGCTGCATGCGGCGACCGCCCACCAGCCACGGGGGGGACACCAACGCCACAAATCGAGCCAGTTACAGCCAGTTACAGCCAGTTGTAGCCAGCAAGTGGAAGCGGAGCCCCCCATTCGTTTCAAAAAAAGACCCTGAGAGGCCAAGAATAATTAAGAACAAGTACTAACTGGCCTTCATTTGCCTCTCCGTGTCTCCTCCTCCTCCACCTCACCCTCACCCTCATTCTTTCTTTCTTCCTTTCTCCCTCTCTTCCACTCTCCCTCTCTCTCCCCTCCTCCCCATCCTCCCTTCCATTCGTTGGTTGGTCTTTTGCTTCCCACTACTATCTTTGTGGCCTGCACCGGAGGCGCCCGGACGATCCTATGCTTTCTCTTCGTTCTTACCGTTAATCGTCTTTCTTTCCCTTTATACCAACTCGGTCGGAACACCGAGAGCGTTGTCTACCGGACATAACGCTACAGCCTTTACCGAATACTTGGCTTTGTCCGCATGTCGACTGTTGTTGACAGTCGACATACTCCACGTACATCGTCCTTTTCAGCGTCAGGTTCTAGACCTAGCAGGCGTTCGGTGTCGCACGCTTCCGAACCCGCGATCCCCTTAGTCGCCTTGGACAAATCGATCGGCAAATCTCGTCGCAGTTTGTCCCACATGATGATGTCTCAAAGCCAGCGCTCTCGCTACCTGAAGACAGGTGCTATCGTCAGTGCAGTGCTTCTTCTGTTGCTGTGGCTGTCGCCGTCCAAGCCCACAGTGAGCAACATTGGATCCCGTAAGTGACCACCCCCTATAACGGGGAAATACGATCTGGACTGACGGTCAATTTCCAGAGCCACCGTTGAATGGTGTCGCTCCCCTGACGGACAAGTGCACGAAACCTCATGACCCCTCCAAGCCTCTGATCCAGTATGCGCTTATGATCGACGCGGGCAGTCAGGGCTCTCGCATCCACGTCTACCGCTTCAACAACTGCGGCCCTACCCCCGAACTTGAGAACGAGGTTTTTGAGCAAACCGAGAAGAGACAGGGTGGCTCCGGACTGAGCGCCTACAAGGAAGATGCCGAGGGAGCGGCCAAGAGTCTGGACCCTCTGATGCAGGTGGCTCTCAAGTCCGTGCCCGCCGACTACCAGTCCTGCTCCCCCATTGCCGTGAAGGCCACCGCTGGGCTGCGTATGCTTGGCCCCGAGATGAGCCAGAGGATTTTGGAGGCCGTGCGTACTCGCCTCGAAACCGTCTACCCCTTCCCGGTTGTCTCCCGTGAGATGGGTGGTGTGCAGATCATGGATGGCAGTGACGAGGGTGTCTATGCCTGGATCACAACCAACTACCTTCTCGGTAAGATTGGCGGTCCGGACGAGACCCCTACTGCTGCCATCTTTGATCTGGGCGGTGGTTCCACTCAGATTGTTTTCCAGCCCACGTTTCCCCAGAGCCCCTCGGGCGGTATGCCCGAACACCTGGCGGACGGTGACCACAAGTACTCGCTGCAATTCGGCGGTCGTCACTTTGACCTCTACCAGCACTCTCACTTGGGTTACGGATTGATGGCTGCTCGGGATGCTGTGCACAAGGCGATTGTCGATGCCAAGCTGGCTGCCAGCCCCGTTGATATGTCCTGGTTGAAGCAGCCCATCTCCAACCCCTGCATTGGACCTGGTATGGAACGCGATGTCGAGTTGACCTTTGACAACGACCACCCGCTCGCCGGTAAGGTGACGGTGAAGATGGTTGGCCCGAAGCAAGGCGCTTCTGCGGCAGCTCAGTGCCGTGGCTTGACTGAGAAGATCCTGAACAAGGATGCTGACTGTAAGCTGGCGCCCTGCTCCTTCAACGGCGTTCACCAGCCGTCTCTGGAGAAGACTTTCGCCCGCGAGGATGTGTACATCTTCTCTTACTTCTACGACCGCACCAAGCCCCTGGGCATGCCCGACTCCTTCACCTTGGATGAGCTGCACCAGCTCACGTCGACGGTCTGCGCGGGCGAGCCCGCATGGGGCATCTTCGAGGGTGTTGAGGATGCGCTGCCCCAGCTGCGCGATCGCCCCGAGTGGTGCCTGGACTTGAACTTCATGCTGGGTCTGTTGCACACGGGATACGAGATGCCCTTGTCGCGTGAGGTGAAGATTGCGAAGAAGATCAAGAACAACGAACTTGGCTGGTGTTTGGGTGCTAGGTAAGATACCCTTTCTTATACTACTTTGAATGATACTAACGAGTGACAGTTTGCCCCTGCTGAGCCAGGAATCCGGCTGGACCTGCCGGGTGAAGGAGGTTTCTTAGACGAACAGACGTTAGGTGATGCAGCGACGACGGTTTAATCCCCCTTGCGCATGTGCGCTTGGACGTATACATGTCTAATATCATGCAAATACACTAGATCATTGATTTATTTTTCCGTTCCATGTGTATTCTTAGACCTGGCTGGTGTTTAGGGGTATGATTATTATGTTATGCTTGATCTATGAATCCAGAGACTGCAGGCCGAAAACACTTTTGTAGACCCACTCCTTCTAATATGCCAAAATGCGAATAACCCAGACGAACTCTATAGTAGCGACCAACTTTTATAAACCAACAAGTAACCCAAAGCGCCAACCCATGCAATCAGCAGACTTTTCTTATATCTCTTCGATCGTCGGCTTCTCCTTCTCCGCCGAAGACTCTGCATTGCCCATCAAAGTATCCAGCACATTCGAGTCCTTGCCAGACTTCGGCCTCTCAGGCAGAACATGTTGATTGTCCTGACCACCCTGCGACTGGAGATTATCCTCCTCGTCATCATCACCGGGCCGCTTCTCTTCCAGCACACCTAGTCCCAGATTCTGCACCCAATTAGCATCCCAACCACCAAACATAGGGATTATATCACAAACATACCATCTCAATATACCGCTTTCCCTCCATATCCTCGTCCTCGTCATCATCCTCATCCCCATCTATCTCCAATCGCACATCCTTCGCCCTCCCCGCCGCAATCTCCTGCTCGAGCTTCTCATTCGCGGTTTTCATCTGCGGCAGGAAAGCAGATAGTCGGGACAGTAGGTCAGGGTTTTTGTTAATGCGGCCGATACGCGGTTTAGGTATGGCAGGAATGCGCGGCATGTCGTCGGAAGTAGTAGTGGTCGCCTTTTGGTTTACTTGTTCTTCATCCTCATCATCGTCGCTGTCGCTGTCACTATCGCTAGAGCCAGACGAGGAGGTGTAGTCATCATCATCTTCGTCATCATCTTCATCTTCCTCACGGCCAGTGGTGGAGGTAGCGGTGTGTTGGAGATGGTCGTCGTCAGCGGGGGAATGTTCGCGCCGATCAAGATCGCGAGCGGTAGAAGCGGTAGTGGTCGTGGTGATGGAGGAGGGATCGACTCCCTGGCGCTTCGTAGTGGAGGGCATATTATTTGCTTTCAATAATGACACAAAAAAATGGTTGGAAAGAAAAGTAACAGCAGTGGTGGTGATTGAAACAGGATCGACTGAAATCTGCGGGCAAATTGGCGCCGCAGTGGGGAAACCCAACCGCGGGATTGGCGGGGTCAGAGCCATTTCTCTCCTTAACTAGTGGCTGGCCCTACTTCACTACGTAGTACTCTGACTAGTGTAAGCAGCCTTAATGCTGCTAACTATGGAATACTACTAGTTAGTAGCTGACGCCATGACACCAATCGATCTGGCCAGTTATCCGTCCGGCGTGTCTTCTGCCTACATATGTGAGCGGCAGGCACACACTGGGTGGCTGTGCTGGGGGCAGTTGTTGTTGGTTACTTATTGTCTGGAGAGTACTTAGTGAATGAATGGATTCTTTTCTCACACCGTCTCTCTCACTCTCTCCTTATTGCTGCTACTGCTGATGCTGATGCTCTGGTGGAGTCAATGCGTGATTGATAAAGTCGCTCATGTCCCCTCTCTCCTCCCCTCCTTCTCCTGAGACAGATCACTATTGTATTGTCCCCTGATTTCATCTCTACTTTTGATACAAGTTGTATCTGGAAATCCCCGGTATAGCTTCATTCGCCATCCATTAGGGTATGTCAGATCTCTTTGTGCTCCCATTGTCTCGTTGTCCTTCTGACTGTACGAACAAACCCCTTGTCTTACGTCCTCTTTCTCTCCATCCTCCTTCTTCTCCTTTATGGCCATTAATGGCACCAATGCATTGCCTACCTGCTCATAGACAATAGGATTCCCTTCACTGGGAACTACTATATATCCCATACGCAAACCGTATTGAGCCAGATGTCCACCCACATCCTCACGCAGGACAGATAAGCCGACACATCACACTCAAATTATACACACATACACACTCTCCAACCATCTTGCTCTCAACCCTACCTACCACACATCACAAAAATGAGCACCATCCCCAGTGTCCACATCAACGACAAAAGCCCCATAGAGGACCGCGACACCTCCTCCACCTCCCCAACAACCCGCAAATCCCTGCACCAGAACATCTTCGGCAAACTACGTCCCCTCCCCTTCCAATACCACTGGACAGTCTGGTACGACCGCCACACCGACGCCCCAGCAGCAACAGCAGCAGCATCAGGCGCAACCACAACCGCAACAGCTGACTACGACTCGCGTCTCTACGTCCTACACGAGGATGTCGCCGACATCGCCACCTTCTACCGCGTCTACAACAACTACCCCTGGGACAAGATCCGTCTGCGCGACACCGTCCACATCTTCCGCAAAGGCGTGAGACCCGTCTGGGAAGATCCCGAGAATCGCAACGGGGGGTGCTGGCGCTTCCGGGTTCCGAAGAGTAAAGCCCAGGCGTTCTTTCATGAGATTGCCATATTGTGTATGGCGAATGAGTTTCAGGCTGTTTTAGAGAAGGGTTAGCTTTTCCCCCCTGCCCCCATTCTTCTTTCTGCTGTGCTGCTGCTGCTGTTGTTGTTGTTTTTTATGATATGGATCTACTAGTAGAAGTAAACTGGTGAGTATGAGAGACATATACTAACCGGAGAAATGAGAAATATAATAGAACACGACCACGTCCTCGGCGTCTCCACCTCCGTCCGCTTCAACTCGCATCTCATCTCCGTATGGAACAAGCTCGGCTCTAATGAACGGTCCATCAAGGCTCTCGAACAGACTATCATCGATCGATTATCTCCTGAATTAAGACCCACGGGGACAGGTTCCACAGCTTACTTTTATAAGCGGCATGATGAGAATGAGGGGTTTCAGGAGGCTGTGGAGAGGAGTAAGACATGATTGATTCTTTCTTTCTTTCTTTCTTTCTTTCTTTCTTTCTTTCTTTCTTTCTTTCTTTCTTTCTTTCTTTCTTTCTTTCTTTCTTTCTTTCTTTTCAAGGGAAGTTTAAGTAGTTGGTATCCTGAGTAGGTGGTAGAGAGAAGTTGGGATCTCCGGTCATATGACATGGGGAAAGGGGATGGAGCATGTATGTATGTGCATATTAGATTTCGGTCTATGAAACTATAGAGATGTTTTCGAGTGTGGTATTGTTTTATGTTCTGGTTGTGAGTGGAGGAGTAGGAA